GGAGGTGCTTTAAAAGCTTTCCCTGAACCACTAAGAAGGTTTACATCCTGCATGAAAAGTCTTATGGATTTCTTTTGCAATCACTGACTTCTTCTAAGACTCTTTTGGAATAAATAGCTTTGAAATTTCACTGACTAGGATCTCACCTAATTGTAGTCAAGTGTCTGGAGGGTCGCCCAGTGACAGTATCAGCAAGAGAGCTCACCGAGAGACCCAGGTATTTGATCTTAAACGGCAAAAAAAAAAGCCTTACTTCTGCAGCCCAGGCACAAATGTATGGAATGAGAAGACAGAAGCAGCAAAACAAAACAGTAAAACAAATCCCTTTAAAAAGGGGTTGGGCACTGTGCAGGAGGGAGTAAGGATACAAGTTGCAGGGGACAGTTTTTACAGGAGAAATTCGTACTTTTTAAGAGCGAGGGTTACCCATACAATGAAATATTGTTTGGCCATAAAAAGGAATGTTGTATCTGTACCTGCTACACTAGGCATGAACCTTAAGAACAGAAGCTGAGGAAAGAAGCTAGACACAAAAGGCCCCATACAGCACGATTCCATTTAAACAAAAGGTCCAGAACAGGCACATTCACAGCAACGGGAAGAAGACCGGTTCCCTTGGGCTGGGGAGTTTGGTAGGGAAATGGGGAATGACTGCTAATGGGTGCAGGGTTGCTTTTGGGGTGATAAAAATATTCTGGAATTAGATCCTGGTGACCAAAGCACAACCTGTGAACTGCTCAATTGTTCATTTTAAAAGGGTGAATATTGTGGTATGTAAATTACATCTCCATATAGCAAGTTAATTTTTTTTAAAAGTCTTCACATAAAACCCTGATCTTATTGATAGTTTTCTTGTCTTCCTGTAGGTTTTAGCTTAGATCACTTGCAATATATCAGGCTTCATTCATCGGTTACATCAGTTTTTAAGATTTAAAAAAAAAGACATCAGTACACAAAGAAGCCACTATGTACAGTTAAAACCACACTCCAAGATATGAAGAGGACTGCAAACCCACGATTTCTCTCGCTGCTGAACGCTTCACTAACAGGACAGCTGAGCAGGAGGAGAATTCGGCAGGGAGGGAGAAGCCACCGCCACTTACCAAATTTGCTTTCTCTCTTGATATTCTTTTTTGTTCTTCTGATTTCAGCTTTTCATTTAAAGCATCATTTTCACTCTTCAGATCACTGATTTGTTTCTAAAACACAAACATGAAATGTGGAACATAAGTGAACAAGCAGGCACCAGAACCAGACCAGAACCACACAAACCTCAGAATGACGATTCTGGGCCGGGGAGAAGGGGGGTTCCTGTGTTCCACCTACCTCTAGTGATTCCTGCTGCTCGTAAAGTGAATCCTCAAGTGATTTCTTTTCTACTTCATGGGTTTTCTTGATTTCTGGAAAGAAGTGATCAGTTTTGTGAGGCACTGAATTCTGCAGTCGTTCAAGCGTGTAGACACGAGGGTGGCTGGTGAAGCACTGTGACCACGGTGCTTGTGTGTGTTTGGCACTTTTATATACATCAAACCACATGTTCTCAAATTAGCCCCATGAGGACAGTCGGGCAGATACTCCCATTTTATGGGTGAGAACACCGAGGCCCACAGAGCACGCCTCCCGGGGGAGGGCCTGGAACACTGGCCTTGGCCGCCTGGCCCACAGCCCCTGTGTTCCTTCCAGCTGCTCTTCACGAACCAAACAGAAGTCTCAGACTAAACCCACCTCTAGCAGGAAGGAGGAACACTGTTTACCAGATGTCCACCCCGGGCCAGTCACCTCGACACGTTATCACTCTGACTTCACAAGGCAAGTGTTCTTCTGATGAGAAGGCCCTTGACAAACGCCACAGAGCGGGTCTCAGCACACGTCCGCCCGCGTCTCTGCAGACGCCCTGGGTTCATGGGCACCTCCAGCTACACGGGCAGTCACGTTCTGAGAAAAAC